GAGATAGATCACGGTGAAGACGGCGGCATTAGACTTCTCTGAAATTTAATAAACAAAAAAGAAATAAAAAAATGAAAGGTGAAAGAAAAACAAAAAGAAATAGAACTTTACCACCGCCGGATCTGAGATAGGTTTCCGTGAAGACGACATTAGACTTCTCAAAAGTTTTATAAACAAAAAAGAAATAAAAATTAAAAGAAAACAAATAGAAATGGAACCTTACCACCGCCAGCGGATCGGAGATAGATCACGGGGAACACGGCATCATTAGACTTCTCAGAAGTTTAATAAATTAAACAAAAAAGAAATAAAAAATGAAAGGTGAAACAAAGACCAGATAGGGCTGGATCGGAAAGGTCACCGTGAAGACGGCGTAGAGACCAGCCACCAAGAAGTTTATTAAATAAAAAAGAAATAAATAATGAAAGAAAAACAAATAGAAATGGAACCTTACCACTGCCGGCGGATCGGAGATAGATCACGATGAAGACGACGGCATTAGACTTCTCAGAAGTTTAATAAACAAAAAAGAAATGGAACTTTACCACCACCGTGTCGCTGTGAAGACGGCATTAGACATCTCAGAGGTTTAATAAACAAAAAAGAAATAAAAAATGAAAGAAAAACAAATAGAAATGGAACCTTACCACCGCCGACGGATCGGAGATAGATCACGTTGAAGACGAGGGCATTAGACTTCTCAGAAGTTTAATAAACAAAAAAGAAATAAAAAATGAAAGAAAAACAAATAGAAATGGAACCTTACCACCGCCGGCGGATCGGAGATAGATCACGGTGAAGACGTTGGCATTAGACTTCTAAGAAGTTTAATAAACAAAAAAGAAATAAAAAATAAAAGGTGAATGAAAAACAAAAAGAAATGGAACTTTACCACCGCCGGATTTGAGATAGGTTTCCGTGAAGACGGCATTAGACTTCTCAGAAGTTTAATAAACAAAAAAGAAATAAAAAATGAAAGAAAAACAAATAGAAATGGAACCTTACCACCACCGGTGGATTGGAGATAGATCACGATGAAGACGGCAGCATTAGACTTTTCAGAAGTTTAATAAACAAAAAACTTACGGACCAAGGGTCATTACATCAAGGAGGCAATTATTCACTAAATCCTATATGGTATCAGAGCGTTAACATTTTTTTCCGTCCCAATTGCTTCCTATCGCAGATTTCCGTCGAATTGTTAGATGAGCAGAAACAATTGTCTGCCAATCAAGTTTCCGCCGATCAAATCAGTCCGCTGTCCAGTTCCCGTTGCGCCGTCCAGTTCCCGTTGCGCCGTCCAGTCCTAGGTGCCTTGTATAGTTATTTACCATACTTAGTATTGTAAACCCGATTGTATAAATACGGACCAAGGGTCAATACATCAAGGAGGCAATTATTCACTAAATCCAATAATGCGCAACGAGAAGATACTTTTAAATATCGTAATGTGCTACGAGAACATAATTTTTGGGGAGGGAGGTGAGTATGATTGTTCTTTGTGCTTGAACAAATTAAAACAGGATACCCATCAAGGTTGAGGAAAACAAACACTCCCCTCACTCACCCGCAAGAAGCCAAGAACTTTCCACTTTATAGCAATCCTCTCTTTTTGCACCCAGCCCTTGTTGACCTAAAAATATATTGAAATGCGGTAGTTTTATTAAATGCCTGAATTTTGCTTCTTTTTTGCTCTGTTTGTTTGTGCTGTAATAACTCTGATCTCTCTTTTGTGTCTCTTGCTAACCCTCCATTCACCTCCTCCCTCTGCAACCCCTCTCTCTCTCGATCTACCCAAACCATCCTCTGATTTGTCTTTGCCGCTGATATTCTCCCCTCTTGCCACTATTCTCAACATTTCTTTGCACAAATCTCACTTCCAGGTTAGCGTCTGTTGCTATTTTTTTAAATGTCATTTATCACTGTTCCTTTATCACTGTTGCAGTTATGTCATTTATCAAAATACCCAGTATATTTCATACTAGATCTGAGTACACAATTTCATCGAGTCAGCCCAGTTTTGTTTATACTAAAGCTGATACGATTGCTTCTTTATAATCAATTTCATCGAGTAGCCAAGCAGAGTTTGACGTGAAAAGATTATCACAACTTTGTTGGAATTATTTTTTTGCACTTGAAGATTTTACAATCCAGGAGTTCTTTTATGAAAAAAGCAATCTTTTTTGTTGAATCGAGAAGATTTTAAAAAACCTGCCACTATTGTTATTTTTTTAAAAAAGAAAAATACTCCGTATATGGCTATTTATTCTCAACATTTCTTTGCACAAATCTCACTTCCCCGTTAGCGGCTGTTGCAATTTTTTTAAATGTCATTTATCATGTTTCTTTGTCACTGTTGCA